GACAGAAGCACTCTCAGGTGGGGCTGAGACTCGACTCCCGTTGGGGAGTGGAATTTGCCTTTGGGGCACCCACAGTGAGGCTCCGGGCCATCAGGGACCCATCCGGGGTCAGGGGACTCTGTCCATCCCTGGCCACTTTCTCATTTGATGCCGCCTCAACCACTTTTACAAAGTGAAGTGTGATGTGAAATNCATCACCGCACCTCAGTTTCCCATCTGTAAATGGGGCATCATGTCCTAATTTCCCTGGGCTACTGTGAAGAGACAATCAAATAGCGTACCTAACACGCCCAGTCAGGGCAGGCACTTGAAAGCCCTCTGTGAGCACTGATTCTGGTCTCCCAGGCACCACCTTCCTGGTTCCAATTCTCTGCTGTAGCCCCGTGGACATTCCTTTCAGGGAAACAGAGGTGTTCGCTGGGGCTGAGACAGAGGAATCGACGTGAGCTCTGCAGTGGAACCTAGGACCTAGAGTTGGCAATGCTGCATTGAAAACAAAGTTCTGGCAACAGGGCAGATCTTGTGCCACGCGTTCTCACCACAAAAGAAAAAAGTAGATGAAAAACACGCTTTTAATAAGGGACACAAAGTGAGGGGTTTTTCTGGTGGCCCAGTGGCTAAGACTCCATGTTCTCAATGCAAGGGGCCAGGTCTGATCCCTGGGCAGGCGCCTCCCCTGTGACTCAGCTGGGAAGAATCTGCCTGCAATGCAGGAGACCTGGGTTCGATACGTGGGTTGGGAAGATCCCCTGGAGAACGGAAAGGTTACCCATTCCAGGATTCTGGCCTGGAGAGTTCCATGGACTGTATAGTCCCTGGGGTCGTAAAGAGTCAGACACGACTGAGCGACTTTCACTTTTCACTTTCAGGGAACTAGATCCTGCATGCTGGAACCAAGACCCAGCGTAGCCAAATAAACGAAAGTCAAAGTAAAAGTCACTCAGTCGTGTCCGACTCGTATCTGACTCTTTGTGACCCCATGGACTGTAGCCCACCAGGCTCCTCTGTTCATGGGATTTCCCAGGCAAGAATACTGGAGCGGGTTGCCATTTCCTCCTCCAGGGGATCGTCCCAACCCAGGGATTGAACTTGGGTCTCCTGCATTGCAGGCGGATTCTTTACTGTTTGAGCAATCAGGGAAGCCCATCCTTACTCTTTAGCCAACTTATCAATAAGTGTGTAGTTTAGAAATGCGTTGTGGATCAGCAAAAGTTTCTGCAGGCAAAAGCTTTGAGACTTCTTGGAATAACTGTATTTGAAACAAAAATGTCAAACTGTAGTCAATCAATGCCTGGCTGAGATCTAAGAGGGGAACCAGGAGGACGGAGCTCCGGGCCAGCTCCCCTGACCTTGAGCGAGGGTTTCCTTTGAGAGCTGGTGAAGGAAGGACCCTTACAGGTCAGAGGATAATCACTCCAGGATCCCTAGAGACTTTGCGCAAGACAGAGCCTTCAAGGCGTCATCCTGGCCTCAGTGCCTCGGGGGCTCTGACGAGTACCTTCAGTCAGCTAGTTCAGTCACTCTGTCGTGTCCCACTCTGTGACCCCGTGGACTGCATGCAGCACACCAGGCTTCCCTGTCCATCACCGACTCCCAGAGCTTGCTGAAACTCATGTCATCGAGTTGGTGATGCCATCTAACCATCTCATTGTCTATCATCCCCTTCTCCTGCCTTTCATCTTTCCCAGCATCAAGGTCTTTTCTAAGGAGTCAATTCTTCACATCAGGTGGCCAATGTACTGGAGCTTCAGCTTTAGCATTAGTCCTTCCAGTGAATATTCAGGACTGATTTCTTATAGGATTGACTGGTTTTATCTCCCTGCTGTCCAAGGGACTCTAAAGAGTCTTTTCCAACACCACAGTTCAAAGGCACCTGTTCTTCAGTGCTCAGCCTTCTTTATTAGCGTCTTGGCTTCCATTCACTGTTATCAGCGCTCAGTCACTTCAGTCGTGTCTGACTCTGCATCCCATGGACTGTAGCTCGCCAGGTTCCTCTGTCCATGGGATTCTCCAGGCAAGAATACTTCTTTCCAACCCAGGGACTGAACCCGTGTCTCCTGAGGCTCCTACATTGCAGGTGGGTTCTTTGCCGCTGAGCCACCATGGAAATTATTGTTATAAATCATGTGAAATGCATTGCTTCAGAATAGAAGGAAGTGGGAGAAGCAGCGTGGGAGGTCAGGGAGCGGAATCCAACTGAAATCAGCAAAAGGTCCAAACAGAAGCACATTTGCACTTCCTGGGCATGATCCATGGGACCAGACACAAACTCAGGCATGAAGACTAAGAACTAAGGTGAGGTTAATGAGTGTACCAGACACAGGGACCTAATAAATCGCTGTGAATGAATGAGCAGCGTGTCCATGAGGCAGCATGCAGTTGGCCATCTCAGAGAGCAGAGCTCCAGACATGCTGCTGTGGGTGGAATTGTGTCCCCACGTTCCTACCTTGGAGTCTTAACCTCCAGGACCTCAAAATGTGGCCTTACTTGGAAATGGAGTCTTTACAGAAGTGAGCAGGTTTAAAGGATGTCATTAGGGAAGGCCCACATCCAACATGACTGATGTTCTCATGAAAAGGGGAGATTTTGGAACTTCCCTGGTGGTCTGATGGTTAGGACTCCATGCTTCCACTGCAAGGGTCCAGTTTCAACACTTGGTGGGGGATCTAAGACCCCACATGCCATGCAGTGTGGCCAAAAAAATTCAGAAGAGGAAGCCAAAAGCAAGGGAATAACCAAGACTTTGCACAGAGTGCCGTAAGACAACATTCTGTGGGTCCTTCACTGGGCACATATAAATCCTAGTTAATTTTTTACAGATATTGTCATACGATTTTGACAAAAACAGAAGATCGATCATTTCTTTTGGCTTGAAGTGTGCTGTGACTTGCTTGTGCATCGTGCAGGGCTCAGTCTAGATTGTCATTAGATTGAAGTCTACCTTCACAAAATAAAAGTAGCGCTACGTGAAAAAGTTTGAAACAGGATTTGAGGAGAGTATGGTGGTTCAGACAGTTCTTCACTTTTCGGAAAATCTGATGCCAAGCCATAAGCTTTTTTAAGTCTGAGTTGAAAAATTACATTTTCCAAGTACTGCATTTCTGAGCTATTGAAGGAGATTAGAGAAAAAGATTTCTCTGTGATATAATTTTTCTCAGTTTCACTGTGTGGAAAAAGAACATATTTCCCATAAATGGGAACTCTAGTCAGCGTCTCAAGGAACATGTATTCCAGGGAGAACCATGAGGCCCTTTTGGAGATAAAGTCCAAAATTGACTCATACTTTTAGATTATACAACTAATAAAAACTACCTTACTTTAATTACAGTTTTCTACACATGATAACACAGGACATGTTTAGGAAGCTTTTATAAGCCTAGAGTGTTGTCCTGATTTCTACAAAGCGTGGTTGCCTTGTCTGTTCTCCTCTGTTCAGTGTATGATTTGTATTTTCCTTACCATGGGTTACATTTTTCATTCTCCAAATTAGATCTTTTCCTGGAAATGTTTTCATGTTTTAATAAATTGTTTGAAACTGAAAAAAAAAGAAAGCCAGAAGAGGTGGGAGCTGCAGGGTCCCCTGAGGTCCCCAGGGCTGGACCACATGGTGATGGAGCCACTGCAGCTTGTCCTAGGGTTGGCATGGGACGGAGGAGGCTGTGCTGAAGGCCGGCCCTCACTTTAAGGCCAGTTAAAGGGCAGGGGCTGTGACTGGGGCTCTCCAATGAGCAAGCAGCCAACGTCCAGGGCCAGGAGGAACTGAGTGGGTCTGGGGGTAACCTGTGGTTACGAAGGCTAGGAGATGTTGAGAAACTTGCCCAAGATTGGAGGCTCTTAAGGGGTAGACCCAAGTCTCAAACCCAGATATCCAAGCTCTTTGTTCAGGCGCTCAGTACGCCTGATCACAATGCAAGTGAAGAGACATCTGGACGCCGGGATGAACTGCCAACACTGCTCACATCTGTGCTCGTGGTTAACAGCCCACCTTTCCAAAAATGAAATGTATCTCCCTTTTGGGGAAGGAAATGGCAACCCACTCCAATATTCTTGCCTGGAGAATCCCATGGACGGAGGAGCCTGGTAGGCTATAGTCCATGGGGTCACAGGAGTCAGACATGACTGAGCAACTAATCACAGCTCCCTTTTAGCATTCATTCATTCTCTCATCCCCTCACTCACTTATCCATCAGGTAAGCATCCACTTGGCTCTAGGCCCTATTCTGTTCCTCCCTTCAATATCGACACACAGTCAGTCCTTTACACATGAATATGTTCCAAGAGCATGTTCGTAAGTCCAATTTGTTCGTTAAGTCGAACAAAGTTAGCCTAGGTACCCAGCTAACACAATCGGCTACATAATTCTGTACTGTACTATACTGTACTGTAATAGGTTGATAATATTTATCAAACAAATAATACATAAAAAACAAACAGAAAAACTAAAGAAAGCAGTTTTAATCTTACAGTACAGTACCTTGAAAAGTACAGTAGCACAGTACAATAGCCGGCACACAGAGGCTGGCATTGAACAGTCAAGAAGAGTAAGATGGGAAAAAAAAGAAGAGTAAGATGGTGGAGCTAAAGGATCATCAGCAATAGGAGACAGAGGCTTGTGTGCCTGCTCAGTCATGTCCAAATCTTCGAGAGCCCATGGACTGTTGCCCACCAGGCTCTTCTGTCTATGGGATTTCCCAGGCAAGAACACTGAAAAGGGCTGCCATTTCCTCCTCCAGGGATGCTTCCCGACCCAGGAATCAAACCCAAGTCTCTTGTGTCTCTTACATTAGCAGGTGGATTCTTTACCACTGAGTCACCTGGGAAAGGAGACAGAGGGCAAGCTGCAATTTTGCTCATAACTGATGTTGATGGAACGCATGGTCACCTCTTTGAAAGTTCACACCGTGAAGGTTCTTAAGTAGGGGCTTATTGTACTGTGTCCTGCCCACAAGCCAGGCTCCGGTTCAGCTCAGGCCACAGCAGGGAAGCCATGGCCTCGATTATGGGGCAGAAGTCCCCCTTGTACATAAGTTCTTCATGGTGAGTCTCTAGAGGGAGGAGTAAAGAACTGATGTGCAGAAATTAGAAGTTCCCAGAAAAGGCGGCGTTTGAAGTCAATCTTGGAGGACCAAGAGGGCTTTAAAAAGCGGGTTCTGAGAGAAAGGGCATTCTAATGAAGAGCATAACATGGGCCCAGGGAGGATGAGCTGGTGTGCTGGTCACTTTCAGGGTAAAGTGCGTCTGCATCAGCGGCCAAGGATTCCTGGTAAGTTTCTCTCCCTCCACATAACTAATTCCCTCTCTGTCAGAAAGCACCCAGCCCCTGGCATTTGTTGCGGGCTCAGGATCTGGCTAACTCTGAAAACGACAGAGGGGCATGTACAGGATCATCACGGTAACTCGGATTAAATAATGTAAACGCCCCAGTCAGCATCTCCCTGAGTCTGTGCATGTTACGGACAACTTGAATATCCTCTCTGTTGATTCAATTACATACATGATCAATGAACTTATTGTGAAATTTTACTAAAACCCAGTGACATTTACAAATTACAGTGGGAACCCTGTCACTCTGGCTCTGGGAACACAGGTGTGTGGGCAGTCCACTTTACCTGGCTGCCCAGGTAAAGCGCTAGGTAGAGGGGACCCCATTCAAGCTGGGCTGAACCTGGAATGGAAGGAGCCAGAGCCAGCCTTTTTTGATTGCATTTGGTGAGCCCTGCTCTACCAAACCCATGATGGTACTTAGGACAGGCCATGGTTTTGTGAGTCTTCAGCAAAGCTCACAGAGAAATCACAGCGATTCCTCACTTAAGGGCCTCCTAAAGGCTAGTGCTGGGGTTGGGGAGAAGAAGCCCCCAGTATTTCGAGGCCCAACAAACACAGAAATCAATGTTGGCATATGCTGAAAGGGGCATTTGTTGCCTGCGTTCACTGGGGTATTTTGTGTGCTGCAGAGGAATCTGAACCTCTAGTAATTTATCAGTGTAAACGTTTAACAGTTTAGTTTGAGTAATACTAACTTAGTTAGTATTAGTTAGTATTAGTAATACTAACTTAGTTTGAGTATTTCTCCCAAGCTTCTCTCATAGTAGGAAGCTACCAACAGGGCACAAAGCTTTCCAACGTTAATTGATGAAGATGGTAACTCCACGATGCTATATCCACTCAGAGACATCAACCTCCTGGCTGTGGGGCTGGGAGTTCTAAAATGCGATCTCCGCAGCTGTGGTTATAATTGTTTCATGTCACATTGACCGGGCACGTCTACATGTTTAACGCCAGTCTTAAAAAATTCCAATGACATCTGTTGAGAATTTAATTGTGAGTGTAAAAAAAAAAAGAAAAAAAATCATTAAAGGCACAGTCAAGAGATCAATTTTCAGACTGTTTAAACAACACGGTGGCCATCAGGCGGTGGAGGAATCTGGCGACCTGACTAAGTTAATCTCCTGAGTGGCAGCGCCTTAGTGTGCAGGGGGCAGGAGTGGATGGAAGACAACTTAAAATAAGTAGGAGACGACGGGCAAAGAGGGATGAGGCGAGATCCAGAGGAGACTAGGAATGGGAAAGTGGGCCATCTCCCGTCCCATCGGAAAGTGTCCCGACCCAGGGCTGATGCGGTGGGCGTCCCGTTTCCCGAGGGTTTGGCTGGAAGTGGGGGCGGAGAAGAAAAGTGGCTGGGGGAGCCACCAGGAGCCACTTTTGTTTTGCGCTACGGACGCCGGGTCGCGGCGGGGCGGCAGTGCGCACGCGCGGGCGGGGCGGGGGAGGGGCGGAT